TATCGCTTTGAAACACATGATCCCTATTATTGGATGCCAATTTATTTTCATAATACAGAACGTGATTCGATAATAGTCTATGCAATATTAACTGTCGGTTATCTATTTTCATTTTTTTACAGTTATTAATCATTATTATTATAGACTAGATCTTTGCAGTTTTGGTAATACCCTTGTTTGAATCATTGTTGATGATGCCGAATATTTTGTAAAATTAAGTAAATTTAAAGTAGATTGATGGCCATGTTCAATAATGTAGTTGCAATGATGCAGTGCTTATTCAGGTTTGTAGTTGTTGTGGTAGCTATTGTCAGAATGACACATCAGAACCTCTTAGTAGTAACGAGAATAAAGGGAACCAATAACACTATAGTAGTAGTTATAGTAACAGAGTTGCAAGAAGAACAATACTGAAATGAAATTTATCGTGTTATCTAAGTGTGTCTGTTAATTTTGTTTTCAGATTCGTGTGAGATGTCATACACAATCTGATTTGATGTATGAAATCCAGGATAATTGCTTTTAATATCTATTTCTGAAGACTATTAGTAAACTACATTATTAACGCATACTTATGCGAAACTACTCACTAATCACTGTACATTACTCACACGGACATACGAAGAGAAGAAGAAGAAGGAAATAGAGAAAGAAATTTGTTTCAATAGTTTTCCATCATATTTATCAAAGAATAAAAGATTTCTTATAGTTATAGGCTCGTGTTAGGGCTATTAAGCCGGGAGTTATTGCCTAACTAAAATTCTTCGTTGATAGTTACACTTGTACACCTCCAAACATTTGATTTTGTTTTTAACTATTTTTTATTCATGTAAAGTAACCTGGTCATAATGATGTATAAAATTATACAACCAGGTGCATGCCAACTGTGTGTGCGGAAGTGCACACTCTCCAGTAAGTTTTTCTCCCTGCCATTCTCCCATGTATTTTGAGAGAAACGGTCTTTTGATCCTCTTAATTTTATTTTTAAAAAGCTTCTCCCGGGCGTGGTATCTTTCTTGGAAAAACGCATGTTTTATCTCCGGCTTCTTTCTTTCGGCACACCTCCCTTGAACGATTAGGACGACCTCTTCGCGTCGGGAACGGATAGGAAAACGTTACCCGTGCACATCTGTTATGAGGATAGACATACTGCTCAAGATATGAGTGAGATAACTTAGACACAAGGCTATTCAGTCAACCAATTTTTGTCACCTTTTCCGTTCATTCTTGAGCTTTCCGCTTAACTTTTGCCAGAGACTATCATGATCCAGGAGAAGCCACATTCTCTTCTTCGCGGAATCACATTCGTTTTCTACACGTTAGAAATGAGGCATGTCCCTCTGCACAGAAGATATGCTCCGTCAGAGCTGTTGCCTCATTATCTGTTACGTCACAATTCAAACAACGATTTTCGTTTCTGTTGAGTCTTGATAACAGCAAAGAAAAATACAAAGCAGTGATGTCATTATGCACACACTCAACCTGTGCAATGCCGTTATTGTTCCTCTTACGCGTCCAAAGGCATCCATATGTAAAAAAACGATTAAATTGCTTTATCTGCATTCCGATGTTGGCAAAAACATCGCATATATTCAATCCTCTGATTACAACTGACAGCAGAATGAATACAAATGTCGATGTCATATCCTGAAGAGAGATGCAGCCTGACTTATCAAACCGCTTGCTCAGTACTTGTGGCAACGATGAATGTTTGAAGCAAGTACAGAATGGTAAGTTGATCATGTGTTGTTCAACCACATTCAGTACGGCACACACAAAGCTAATGATTGCAATATATTGAGAATAATGGAGAGAGAGAGATGATATCCATGGTCAAGACTATAGTAAAATGCTAATGGCTGACCATCCATCCATATTAAGGATGAATAGAACCGTGCCAAATACTCGGACGAACTATCACTCAGTGTGACACTGCTACTCATCTTCGAGAGTGAGTATCCACCTTGCCATTCTCACTTCCTTATACTTCAGAGACTCTCTTCATATAAGAGACACCAAGAATTCAACCTCTCGACAACGCACATTTGTTTAGATGTGACACAATTTCAATCGCTTGCGAACGAAGTGATTCTTGAAATCTTTGAATATCTTCATGCTTATGATATTCTTCACTCATTCCTTCGACTAAACGATCGCTTCGATCAACTACTTGGCAGCATACAGTTTGATCTCAACTTTCAACGCATCAGCAAATCCAGATGTGACTTTATCTGCGAACACTTTCCATCAACAGCACAAGTTCGTTCACTACATCTGTCTAAAGAGCCCTCCAACTACGTTGACTTGTTGTTCAACCACTTTCCAAAGAACACATTGGTAAATCTTCGCTCTTTATCCTTGTTCAACATCCAAACAGAACAAGTGATCAAAGTCGTCGTGCCACACTTCTCCTCTATGACACAACTATCGTCACTAAGACTGGCTGTAAAATTACACGACAAGAGGCCTAATATTGCTTTTGAACAAGCCACTGACATGCTTGCAAACGATTTGAAAGTAAACAACACTCTCACTCAACTTCATCTTGGATGGAACCAAATATCCGATAGAGGAGGCGAAGCACTAGCAGACGCACTGAAAGTAAACAACACTCTCACTCAACTTCATCTTGCAGGCAACGAAATATCCGATAGAGGAGGTGAAGCACTAGCAGAAGCACTGAAAGTAAACAACACTCTCAATAAACTTCATCTTGCACACAACGAAATATCCGCTAGAGGAGGTGAAGCACTAGCAGAAGCACTGAAAGCAAACAACACTCTCACTCAACTTGATCTTGCAGGCAACAAAATATAGAGGAGGTGAAGCACTAGCAGACGCACTGAAAGTAAACAACACTCTCAATAAACTTCATCTTGCACACAACGAAATATCCGGTAGAGGAGGTGAAGCACTAGCAGAAGCACTGAAAGTAAACAACACTCTCACCCAACTTGATCTTGCAGGCAACAAAATATAGAGGAGGTGAAGCACTAGCAGAAGCACTCAAAGTAAACAACACTCTCACTCGACTTTATGTTCGCAGCAACGCAATATCCGATAGAGGTGAAACATCGAGAGAAGCGGTGCAAGAAGATGGAAAAGTCGTTCTCTAGTGTGCTTCGGAGGCAGCGTGGTTTTGTTTTTGAAGAAGTTTTCCTGTTTCTTTGTGCGTTTTTTATGTGTGATTGTAGTCTACATTTCTTCAATTATTCTGACTTGTTGACTAGTTATTGAACCACTTTCCCAAGAACACATTGATAAATCTTAGCTCTTTATCCTTGTTCAACATCCAAACAGAACAAGTGATCAAAGTCGGACGAGCTGAATCACTAGCAGAAGCACTGAAAGTAAACAACACTCTCAATAAACTTGATCTTGAAAGCACTAATAACACTCTCACCCAACGTGATCTTGAAGGGAACGTAATATCCGAGAGAGGAAGTGAAGCACTAGCAGAAGCACTGAAAGTAAACAACACTCTCACTCAACCTCATCTTGCAGGCAGCAAAATATCCGATAGAGGAGGTGAAGCACTTGCAGAAGCACTGAAAGTAAATAGATGGAAAAGTCGTTCTCTAGTATGCTTCGGAGGCAGCGTGATTTTCTTTTTGAAGAAGTTTACCTGTTTCTTTGTGCGTTTTTTATGTGTGATTGTAGTCTAGGTTTTTTCAATTACTCTGGCTGGTTCACTTGTTATTCAACCATTTTGCCAAGAATACATTGATAAATCTTAGCTCTTTATCCTTGTTCAACATCCAAATGATCAAAGTCGGAGGAGGTGAATCACTAGCAGAAGCACTGAAACTAAACAACACTCTCACCCAACTTGATCTTGGATGGAACGTTTAAAACTTAAGTTTTTCACTTTTTCCGTTCTGCATATATAATGTCGTTCGACATTTTCCCCTTATTTTTTGAATATCTCAAGAACTAAAAGAAAGTTTCAGAAGATTCTTTAGTATATATAGTACTTCACGTGCTTGAATAAGGGTTGAAGTGGCAACCTAAACCGACCTATCAACGCGGAGTAAGAAGCAAAAGAAAAATGAAAATGTCGGTGGACATTTAGTGTGAAAATCACATTGTTATATCTACTGAGATAACTCAAGTTTAATGTCGATGGACAGAAAACTGGTAACTCGTCTGTCAACTCATTATTTTTGATTTTTCGACAAAGACATGTCCGAATTTCAACTCAAAGCACATATTCTGAAACCCTGAGCTCTTCTCTACAAAATCTAGTGTTATCTCGGATTTGAGAGTCAAACCCACTTTCGAAAAAAAGCAAATTTTGCTTGCTAGATAGCGCTAAAAATCAAAGTTTTACATCATGTTTGATCTCTGACTCAGCAGCCAGACAAAATGAGATAATGCCTGTATTAGGACTAGTGAAGAAGGACGAGAACTTCAAAAAGAACTTTTTTTTGAGTTTGCTTGAACAGAAGCGAAGATATTTGCATTTTACATCTTGGAACTGAACGATACAATGGCGCTACAATCCCCTCATATACAATATAGAAATAGACTGGACATGTCTGTGTATAGAGCAGACATGTAGACATCATATATATGCAAGAGAATAGAACTCTAGCGTATTTGTCTTTATCTTTAATATCTCTCATATACGACATTAAGATACATTCGGAAGAGAACAGACATCAGAAGAAAGAAACAAAACATGTGTATATGTTACAGGCCAACTTAGAATTCAGGCCAATTTCAGATGGATCTAGGTTATCTCGGAATTCTAAGTTGACCTAGGTCAACTCAAGATTGAGATGTCTACATCTTTCAGTTCTAATGTAGATTCTAATGTAAATTCCAGATTGACCTAGTTTAGTCTAGAATTCCACGTTAGCCTAGATCAATTTAGAATTAGACTAGGACATATTAGACAGAGAAAGAAAAAGAAGGCTTCCAGTGTAAGCTTTCAAGATATTTCTTTGAGAACTTCACAGAATTTAAACTTATTATATACCATTCCTTTTTCTATGTGAGTTCTCAGCGATCCAAGCTGGTTTTCAAAGATCTGCTCAAAAACTGGTCTCAGAATATCTTTAAAAAATCAATTTTGCTTGTGGAAATCTAGTCTCAGATGTCTACGTTCGATTAGTGAAAATCGCAAGTCTCTAGCTTACTTCTATCAAGCGTTATTCAGAAAACAGCCACCTGCACTGTATTCTGGCGCCATCAATACCTGCACATGTGCCGCAACACATCCGCACATGCACCATTCGATGCGCATTGACGCGTTCTTTCGAACGGTATATGACACTTGTACTTTTCATTTAATAACGTTTTCTTTCGTTAAAACCCTAAGGATTTTAGTAGCTCTAGAAAACTTCTTGGTACATGGTCGCCAATGCACCAAGTGTAGGAAAATATTATATTCATAGACAATCGACATTCTTCTATCGAATGCACGTCTCTGAATTTTTTTCTAGTTGATGGACGAAGACTTGCACTACCTTCGTACCAAAATAGTAATGATAATAACTACTGGTCTTCAAAATATTTTCGAAATGCATCAAGGTCTGTGTCAGCAGTCCATTTCATTATCATCAATCTAGCTGCACTACTAAATAGATGACCATTAAAAACTAATACCAATTCTCTACGTTCACGACTCTTATGAATTGTAGTAATTCACACATGGCACTGGTAATGCCACTAGCACCATCAGCCATGACATGAGTAATATCATATGGTTGTTGAATGATGAGTGGTGTATGCGATTTTAATACACGAAATAAAGTTTTAAATGTATCTGCAAAAAGGTGAAAGAAAGATAATAAGATAATCTTCTAATGGATAGTATTCTCATTTTTACAAATATTTTGGCAACATCTGATAAAGGATGATAATTTCAGCCAAAAAGCAAATTTCATTTACATAGTTTGATATGGTCAACATTTGCTGAAATTTTTACCAAATTCTGACAGAGACTCTTATTAGCCGACAATGTATCTCGGTCCTTACCGTCCTTTTTCATAACTTACTCTAAAATTGTACAATAGTTTCGTCAAAAGTTTTATGATTTAACTTTATTCAGTTCGTTTCTTCTATGCAAAGAGTATTTCTCAACTTCCTGAAAATAAAAGCTCGCGTATATTGAAGAGACCAATGATGATTGAGAACGTTTATATTACTTGAATCGATCAGAATGAAACCTGTTGTGTTACCTTTGCAATATTCTTTTCGTTTTGGGGCTACCTCCACTCTATGACGTTTTAAACCCAAGTGCCATGGTGATATGCGGGTAAGCGGCAGATCACTACCGAGAAAAAAATAGGCATATAAAAATTGTCTTTTTCTATAAGCGTACGATCCGTATAAACCCATAAACTTGCGTTTAAAACGTTGTAGAGTGGAAGTAGCCCCAAAACGAAAAGAATATTGCAAAGGTAACACAACAGGTTTCATTCTGATCGATTCAACTAATATAAATATTCTCAACTATCATTAGTCTGTTCAGCATACACGGTCTCATAAGCCATGGAAAAAATAGAACATAGTACAGATGTTAGAACGCCATAACAGAAGCATATTTTTAATGTTTTGCCTCAAAATCATCTTTAAGTAATAAAGTCAAAAACCTAAAATATTTTCAAAATATTTTTCAGAGAAAACTGATATATGGCTATAGCCTAAATCGAAGAGCCGGCTCTATTAAGTCATTTATACGACGTTTAGCTTCAACTGAAGACTATCCACCGGTAACAAAATTGACACAAAAACGCGTTAAGAGTTTCAAAACCAACGCGTTTTTTATGGTTGTTTAAACGCGTTTTTTTTTTTGTCTATTCGTTTGAAAAAACGTTTTTCGGAATTTCACAACGCGTTAGAGAACATGTTTTTCAATGAATGTAAACGACAATGAAAATACTAATTAACACGTTTTGAAATGATTCAAAAATAAAAACAGAGGGAAGATACAGAGGTTTGAACCTTCAACTTTGGTATATGAACGGAGATTATTTATTTGTCCCATTAATACAATTGTTTATTATTGTATTCTCTATTCTATTATTTTATAAAAATATAATATTTACCATATTATCATCATTGTGTTTATTTTCAACAACGTCATTCTATTATATGGCATCAAATTTAAAATATACCGGTGTCTATGAATTTCGATTATTACAACAGATAATAACGTTAGTAGGCTGTTTCTATTTTTGTATTAGATGGTTTCGTATATTATTCTCATTTCAATGTATAACATATTATCGACGAATTGAACGAGCCATTGATATTATAATTCAATCCCGGATATATTATTTTTTATTAATATAGTGTAATAATGTACTTTTCAATTCTTATTTTTATTTAACCAGTTTTAACTTATTTACAGCAGTAATCAGTATATTTATATGTTTGGGTAAGAGATGTGATCGACCTTGTCTTATTTTTCCTCAGAATTTTTAGTTATATTATTTTTATTTTAGTCTATCAATATTTTGTTCTTTTCACAACGCATGATAATATAGGATTTCAATTTCAACTATCGATGAAAAATTCTTTTTCATTTATGATAGATGTAAAATATGGAAATTTATTATGAAAATGAGTTAGCTGTAGAAGAAGATCAAGACAATCGTTGATACGCGAATCATTTATATCCAAAATAAAGACAGATAAATGAAGTAGAATAATCTACTAAATGTTTCTTAAATAATGATGTATACAATTGAAAAATTTGATGAAGAGAAAGATGAGTCGAATTTTGCTCAAAAATGGGAATAAAATGTATATACTTGATAATTATATGCACGCTTGATACTGTTATTCAAGCGTAACCACGATTTCTTTTTTTTATTGTCTCGTGTCTTCATCATTCCGAAATAAAATATCAAAATGAGAGGAGTAAGAACATTGAACATTGACTTGAGGAGCAATTATTATTTGTTTTAAAGCACTTTTTAGTGCACAGAACTGAATCGTCTATAGAAAATTTTTATATAAATATCGATACCTCATATATCAGACATAGACATAACAAGTGATATCCACGTCAATAATACAGACGATAACAGGTACATTTAAAATATCAATTTTACTACGTTCATGAATCGGCATCATAGATGGCAAAGAAAAAATATTGTCTGACTATTATGTTTTTTTTGTCTATCATAAAGTCATTTTTCTTTTTTCTATTTTGACTGTAGCAGCATTTCAATGAGAACTATTATTTCCTTTAATTTGAAAGTATATCGAGAGGCGTACAATCCATTTGAGAAATTGAATAACATAATGATAACAGTAAAAAATTGTTTTTTTGTATATTTGTATCAAGCATAAAATTTTTGTGTGATCAGTCTAGGTCGATAAAAAAAAAAAGAAAACGTTTTGTTTCTACAAGGTTTTATTCTTACTGATAAATATTTCAAACGAAACTAATGGTCCCATTTGTCATGTTTTAAGTTATTCTTTGCTTGTTGTTCTTATTATCTATGATAAACAGCTCTAGCACTCCACTAGCACTTTTCATCCTAATATGACATTCTAAAAAACATATAACTATTAGATCATATCACCAGATCGAAAAATTTTGAAAGCTACAGATTCGCCTTCTCCATTATTTGGTACGCGAAAACTTTTGGATCGGAGTACTTTAGAGAAAATTTTCGATATCATTTTGCCTTTGGTCCTATACGGTAACTTTTTGAAAAATTTTTGAGTCAGACCATGAGAAAAAGTTTTTCTGAAGTACCCCGATCCAAAATTTATCGCGTACCAGATAATCGACCATGGAGAAGACGAATCTACAATCGGTTTTGATTGAACATATTCTTCAAATTTTTCGATTCGGTGATATGTTACGTCACAAAGATCATAAAATAGTGCGAAAAATGTTCTGAAGAATCAGGATTGATTTGATAATACATTCTCTTTTTTAAATATCATATTTTCCTATATTATACAGTTCTAACAGACTTCTAATTAAAAAATGGTTTGTAAAAATAACAAAGTCAATTATTACGATGTATTAAATATTCAACAAGATGCAAAAAGTCATGATATACGACGTAAATACAAAGAATTGGCTCTTTTATGGCATCCTGACCGTAATAAAACGTCAAATGCTGAAGAAAAATTTAAACTTATTAAACAAGCATATGAAATTCTCAGTGATGAACAGAAACGAAAAGAATATGATGAAGAACAATTAAGACAAAAAAATGTAGCATCAACTCATTGTACAACATCTACAACAGGAGGTAGAGATATTGGGATTTTACGGTTTGTTCATACCTCTTATTATACAAAATTCTTTTTTTTAGAATCAACCGGTATTTATTCAGATGATTTTACTCAATATTTTCAACCAGTTCATCCCACAGATATTGTTATTGATTTTCCACTTTTTAGTCCTCAAATATTTGATAATATATTTCCACTTAACGAATTTAATTTATTTAATGATATTAAACTTTGTGGAGAAACCTATTTTGTACCAGAAATGTCCAAAAGTATCACACGTGAAATTTTTTCTCGTCTATTGTCAAATTTTCCCAATTTTACATCAAAAAATCATCATTTTCAACAACAACAATCATCAAATAATCGTAAGTTTTCAGATCGAATAAATAAAATGCCAAAAGAAAAACATTTAAAATCGCATCCATTGTTCCCCGATCCAATTTATAGAGAGTCTAAAAATAATCAGTATTCAAACAATCATCATCAATATCATCATCGTCATTCAAAACCGACATCATCCGCATCTGTCTATCAATCACCATCGATTCAATTTTTTGATCTTCCACTCGTTTTTCCTGAAAATTTTTTCGATGAAAAAATGCAATTAAATGAAGAAAATAATTTGTTTAAAGTTGATCCCTACAATTTCTTTAATTCAAATGATCTTATTCAATCCACTATTTATCCTTCGCAACTAATTTTTGAACAACAAAACTTTTCAACAACTGATTCATTTTTTGATGATCTGTCAAGTTGTACTGTCTGTCGAAAACGAATTTCAAATCGTACAAAACTTTTACAACATGAAACAGCATGTAAACAAAAACATCAACAGTTTTCGAAACAAAAACACATATTTAAATGATTTATTTACGTCATTAGTAAAAAGAAGTCAATATTTCTTTTTTTATTATCAAAAAAACTAATCTTGCCAAGAGTAAGTGGTCTACGTAATATAGGCAATTACTGTCGAACAGTCAATCTGATATGTTTCTCACAATTTATCATGAAAATTTTCACATCTACTGTCTGTCTAAAATGAAATTTTTTAAAAGGAAAAGAGTTTTTATTTTTCTTGTTTCTGAAATTGACGATTTAGACAAGTAGTGTAAAGTTTTTGATCAACGATATACTCCTTTAACTCTAAATTTTTGCAGTGTTACTCTTCATTTTTTTTTTTGCTCTTGTTTTTGTTGTTTATTTTATTTGTCAAACTTCTCTCTTCTTTCTACTATATACTATATAAATAGATTATCATTCCTAATCTATCAACAGCTTTTAGAAAGTAATAGGGTCTATTCAAAGTTTCATTCCATAATGTATGTGTATTTATCTGTTTATCTGTATTTATCTGGTAAAAGAAGAAATTTTCTCGTTTCTACTGTTTTCCCTCTATTTTAATAGTAAGTATTCGTGATATCAATCAACAATACCATCAAAATATCAATAATAATCCATTATGGTTAGAACGCAACAACTTATAAACAATTACAATGTCATTTTATCACTTTAAAACTCCTATCCATTATACAAAATTATCTCATATGTTCCATGTTTATCAAATCGGCAAAAAATCGCCAGTTAACCTCGGTTAAACGTCTGGTTAAGTGTGCGCTTTACCGTCCGGTTAACCGCAATTAACCGAGAACCGGCACAAAATGCTCGGTTAATCGCGATTAATTCACGGTTTTTTTGTTGAGCAAGCGATATCAGTACAAATCCTCTTGAACATTGTTTTCATTTTTCTTTTGAATGTTGAACTTTCATGTGTTCCATGGCAGTAAAACTGTCGGTTAGTCACAGTCCCATACCGGTGAAATTTTGAACTGAACAGTATCTATCTGCTTACCAGGACTCTAGATGCAATCTGAAAAATCTTTAGACTAAGTCGAAGTTCACACTTCAAGAAGTCATGGAAAAAATTCTGAAGTGGCCACAAAACAAAACGGTGATTGAAAAAGAAACGGTTAACCGTCGATTCTCCGACATAATGCGATCAATTGGCGGTTAATTTTCCAAACCGCGGTATCAAAAATAACGGCGATTAACCGCGATTAATTGACGGTTTATAGCGAACCGTGGTCAATCGGCGGTTACTTGAAGAATCGTAGTTAACTGACGGTTTTCTGTAAAAATAGACGTAGAAAATATTGAATGTTCTAAAGAAAAAAACAATGGTGAGATGATGTAGAAAATTAAAAAAGAAAAAAAAAATTCTGTAAATAAAATGTAATCGACTGTGTGTCTTCTAATGTTTCAGTGTCAATTTTCCTTTTCATTTTATTTTCCCCTCTATCACTACTATTTATATACAATTTTGTGATTTGTGTCTTCAACATCATTATCGGTTGGATAGAAATATACAAAAATTAATCTTGTTCAATGGTGTCGAATTAAATTCTCACATCATTTCACAATTTGTTTTCATCAATTCAATTTATCATAGACTTTCTCAATTTAGTTTTTTAATTTTCTTCTTCTTTCGATGAAATTCGAGTCGATCTCAACATATGGATAAAACAAGTACACTACAACTATGGGACATCGACTATATACACATTAGAGTTTCTTACACCATTAAAATGATTATGTCTTTTTCTTTCTTATACTGATCAATGACAACACATCAATAAATTGGAATAATCAATTATTTTCTATGAGCTTAAAAAAAAAAAGAAGAAGAAAATGAACATTTTTAAACAATATCAAAATTCTTTTTGTCGATTATTAAGAAAACAAGCGTACAAACAGTGATATTGTTCAATTATTTTTCGATAAAAAAAAATTTCTTTGTGTCTAGAGACTTTAATTAGAAATTTGACGATTCTATTTAATAACTATAATTAGCTTTAAATGTATTGTTAAGAAATTGGTGTACAGTTCCTTTTTTTGTTTCGAGTATACAAAGTAAACAAAAGGTGACCACAATCAGTTTTCGTCGCTTATTAAGCAACAGGTTATACATGCTTATTGAGATAACATAAAATGAATTATGTGGCACTTGCAGCTTTAATTACATAGAATAGTAGACTATAATAAATTCTTCTAATTAATTTTGACATGCTACTATCAATATCTTTCCCGTATTAGATTCTTGTCGTTCGAGAAATTTTATTTTCATTGATATTAATTCTCTTTGTGCGTTACGTTTTATGGCAAATTGTTCATAAAATAATGGATACAAACTTTCTTGAACAGCAAAAAAGTGCCTATTGAACACGATTTTGTCTGATTTGTTAAATGACTCAAATATCGAAGAAATGACTTAAGGTAAATCAGCGGCGAATAATTTAATCATCAGGCAAGCTTTGTAATAAATATTAGATATAAATCATGAAAATTATTTTAAAGAAAGAATATGCCAGTTACTCTTTGTCATTTCAAAACTTTATCAATAAATTCGCTTCTATTTCAATGATTATTCGTCTCTAGACTGTATTTTGTGTACACAGATACCTCATACATACACACCAGCTAAACATTCAATATACTTAGGTTTTTTATGTACAATCGTTTTATCATTGTTTTTGCTTGATTAACAAATTTTTAACTATTTAGTGTTCGCAACACATTTTTCTCTTTGTGTAACATTCAGAATGTAGCGTATAACTATCAATTGCAACTCTCGGACGATTTTTCATTCAAAATTTAAAAAGCTGTTAATGGAAAATTCTTGACTTACGAGGGAACCTTTCCAGGTGTCCGACCACTTTTCTAACGAAATGCGGTAGTTTATAAGTAATCGACCATGCTGATTCCGAACATGATAGCCGTTTTTGTCCATAAGCTTTTCCTAACCGGTGTCTAGAAAATTGGTTTTCCAGAAACCTCGAAAAATCCCCAAGGATTTTTCTAATAAGTCACGCCTGTAGCCCGCGAAATTCTGATTAACGGCTATCATATTCTGAATCAGCATGGTCGATTACCTATAAACTACCGAATTTCGTTAGAAAAGAGATTGGATACCGGGAAAGGTGCCCTCGTTAGTTCTTTACTTATCAGAGGAAGAAAAGCTTTTACTAATAAAGCTTTTTATAATACTGACTCGAATAAAATATCCTCGTCTTCCTTTAGTAATCGTCCTTTCTGATGCGAATGAACTCTCTTCTAGAGTTTTCAACGATTATTAATAAACTACTGAAGTAAAACCTCATAGTTGCAGTAATTCACAATGTTTAAAATCTATATTTAAAATAAATCAAAAGTTTTAAGTTTTTTTTCTTTTCAAGATATAGTTTATTCCACTCTTTTCAAAATTTATTATTTACGGTATTTTAGCTTAAAGGACACAACAAGATGGGCACTACTATTATAAACGCTGCCTAAAACTAACTGATACGTAAACTTTTTCTCAGTATACAGAACGGAGATGGATTGAAAAATGTAAAGTAAACTCAGGCGCAATGGTAAAAAAACTCACAAGCTCAGTTATTACAGTAAGAATTTAGCAATACATGATCATTTCTTTCTAGAAAAATAGAACAATTCACTGTCAACAGAAATAAAAATATGATTGGTTCTAAATTTAATAGTGGTGAATGTAAAAAGCCATAAATTCATTCTCTATTTTTCTTCTTCTTTCCACAATTTGATCGCAGATTGTATTTTTTTTCATGTTCAAAAGAAAAACAAGTGCAATATGTTATTTTAAATCAACGCTTCATTAGACGAATACACTAAAATATTGTTTTCTATTTGAAAAAAACATACGATTATAATTGAACTAAATTGTAACACAAGAAGAAGAAACAACTCATGTTTTATTAACTAAACTAGACATATTTTAAACGAGGTACAATGATTAGATGATTGTTTTCTTGAGAGAAAACCAAAAATCGAATTTAAAATTTAGAAAGGGAGATCTATAAAGACATAGATGATTAGGCAAACGATTTGTTTATCAACACTACTGTAACAATATCAAGACAGATGTCTTGATAAGTGTCATGTTTGCTTAGGTTTAGTCAAAATCTCAAGCTTGTTTTGGAAGAGACACTCACACGATGCGATATTATCGAATTTCTGTCTCAGATTATTCTATATCATGGTACGACAGCCTTTAGTGTGTAAGTTACCTATATGGAGATATCATTTTCTCTTTTTTCGTTCCACTATCATTATCATTTGATTAATATTTACAAGTATTTATTTATTCATTACTTTTAACAACTTTTGCTTGTTGATGTTTCAATTGAATTATCATATTCTTATGGTTTATTTGATTTTTCTCTACACACGTGATGAGACAGAATTGACACTGGCGTTCTTGTGCGAAAAGTATTCATATCTATTACGGACAAATCTAAATAAGTGTATTTTGCTAAACAATAAGAAACCGTTCTAACTGCTTTACATACTCCTCATAATTTCTATAATCAATAAATAAAAACATAACTTCTATAATCAATAAATAAAAATTGTTTATTTTATACTGTACATTCTTTTTCTTCTTTCACCAAGTGGGTAGGTATATCAGACATTTTAAGAGTATATAGAATTCTTTTCTTTTCTTTTCTCAGTATTATTACATCTATTCATCTCATTTTCTCGTTTCTCTTTTATATATAGTTCGTTTATGATTGGACCAATAAAAAATCATCGGTGACATATATAATTGGTTACTTTTTCTGTTATTGTTATTATGTACTGTCTTCTACGAAGAAATTGACTTTCATTTCTATAATGAAATCTTATATACAATCTGCATTATCATACTTTGCAATATACTTATTCGTTGATAATATTATGTATTGTATTTTTCATATAACACAGTAGGTAGAATAATTATGGAAAGCTTTGTTATTTTTAAAATTAGAAAGTAGGTTGACTTCTTCTCATTGGAAATACCTGTATTAATGGCAGAGATAGGATTTTCATCGAGGAAGACTTAGAAGTACCGTCCAAAAAGCTTTTCAGTGCGTCAATTTTATTTTTAAATCATCGGTTTGTTCTATCAACGTCTTTCTGTATAGACTTCACAATGTACTTGTAATGTGCACACCGCAGACTTTTCCTAGCGCCTCACTGAAATTTTAGTTTTTAGAGCGAGTTCTATCTCAGCGACTTGTGTAAGACAGAAAGATTTTTATAGAATTTCTGATCGTCTATATTTTCCGAGACTTTTGATGCATTTGTTTCGTCTGAAAAAATAGTTCCTGAAATCGTCCTAGTTGATCATTGTTTTCATCAATACTAAGTAGTAATCTCGAACAGGAGGATCATCCTCTGTTTTCTGGAATTACGCAGATTTTTATTAAATACTTCCCGTCAAAATTTTAGTTCAGCCCTAAGCGAAAAATAATTAGATAGCAGAAAATCTGATTTTTTGTTCCATCAAATCAATTTTGATGGAATCTTTAGTCGAAGTTCCCATAGTTTTGCTAAAGGATTTTTTTGGCGGATTGCCTAACTTTTCACACATCCGTTTTTCGTTTTCTTCTCAGAATTTGATTGTAGAACCAATTTTCTGGAGACGCTAGATCTCACAGTTCGGAGTAGTTACTGTGCGCTGAATAAATTTAGTTGAAGTTGGATCACTAAAGAATGGCGTGTGTTTCTTTCATGAAATGTACATTCTAGAAGAAGCTCTTTAGGAAAGTATATGAAAATTTGAAAAGTTTTGAAAGATTCAATAATTATTGTATCTTGCTATCTTTACTTTACGTTTATTTCCTTAGTAAGTGATGAAAATGTTCAAGAGCTACTGCTATTCCAACAATTCATCGATGATTGATACACAAGTCTATAGTGGTGATCACGTATTAAATGTGCCAGCAATAAAAGCTTCAGAGCCATTTCGTTCGACGTTGTTCTATGAACAGAGGGTAACGCTAAAAAAACTTAGGCAGTGCTATGTTTAAAAAAGTCACTATGCTCATTTGTTCCTTTAGATGTATATATCCCGTATGAATCAAGGAGATCGGTGGCCGTTTAATATATTAACTTGCAGAGATTTTCAAGTAATAATGCTCACATTTAAATAATGTTTTCCGTTTAAAATACTACATCGTTGCTTCATCTCCATTTTAGCTACCATTTCTATTACCTTGTTTAACAACTAAATTTGAGAATTCTCCGATTCAGAACAGTTCAAAATCAACAAGCGAAACGAATAACAGTACAGAATCCACAATTTTAACAGTCAAAGAAAAAGCTGGTACACACACTTCGCACCTCTTTTTAGTTCAAGTTATTATTTTAATTGTATTTTAGAGACAGGCAGTCATGATGTGGAAACGACTCTCGATTGCAAAGAAAAACAAAAACATCCTCTATCACCTTTAAAGTTTTCCATTCAAAGTTTGCTTGCTGAACGATCATTATCATCAGATCGAGAAAAATGTAAAAAAAACGAAGAAGAAGAAGAAGGACAAGATTATCGACGTGTAGCAGGATCACCCAGTCAACCATCCATATTACAATGTCGTTCGTCAAGTAGTGGACGAGGACACAAATCTCTACCCTATCCACTACGTAAAGAAAATGGTAAAATTATCTACGAGTGTCGAATGTGTTCAAAAACATTTAGCCAATTATCAAATCTGAAAGTACATTTGCGAACGCATACAGGTGAACGACCGTTTATGTGTAATCTATGTTCGAAATCCTTCACCCAGTTTGCTCATGCACAAAAACATTCACTCGTTCACTCTGGTCTTCGACCGCATCAATGTCCACATTGTCCAAAAAAATTTTCCTCAACATCAAATTTAAAAACACATCTAAGACTTCATAACGGTGAAAAACCGTATTTGTGTTCTCAATGTTGTACAAGATTTACACAGTTGGTGCATTTGAAACTTCACAAACGAACACACTGTGAAAATATAAATTTGACTTCATTTCGCCCAGTTTTGTAATATATTCGTTCACACACATGTAACAGTTTTTATTTTTGTATAATGAACGATATGAAAATATCATTTCGCTAATAATTTACGTCAACTTGATGTAGTTAACTATTAACATAAAGACTACAAATGGTAGAACGTCTTGTTACAGACAACTATGTTTTTCACAAATCCACTCATTCAGTTCAAAAGAGCTTTTCAATCTAAATAAGAGGAACATAACAACATATACCCTCTAAATAAGAATTTTTTTTCTCTAATAATTTCCTCGATATTATGTTCATCAGGCAACCAAATTTAAATTATATCATTAGTATCGTTAGAACGAATTGTTGATAAGACTTTCTGATGAAAAAAAGTTTTCGAATTCTACTAACAGTTGAAATCAGAAAAACAAAAGTTCGAACCAATCCTCAAGTCGACATGGGTCCAAAATCTTCCGAGAGCATCCGTTACGAAATTCCCACGGAACTGTGAACAGCTTTGAGAACTCTTGACGTAGTTTTTTCACAGAGTATATGTAAATCTTTTTTCTGTCCATTCATTTAAGCTTCAGCGTTTACTGGTGTCATCATTCTAGATAATCTTTGATTGTAAGCTAGGCGTGATGCAGACATGTTACTGTAACTCAATGTGACTATTTTAGAGATTTAGATAATGACTTTGCATTTTTTTTATTTCGTAATTTTGACTATCGTTCATCTAGCTCTTTACTGGTGTCGCAACTTTGTCTTTCAAATCTTTCTCGTCGTCGAAAGTATTTTAGATTTGTACAGTTTTTAAAAATCTAACATCGTATGAGCCCTCTTAATATTTTTTAGCAGTCTCCATTACTCCGAATGTGTCCTTATACTGCCTCTTGTTAATGGTTTCTCTCCTCAAACAATTTTCTCTTCTTTTTTCCATTCTACTGTCACTGACTGGAATAAACTTCCAGAATCAGTAATTTGTTCTACTTCATTACCCAGTCAAAAAAAAAAATATCAAGAAAAGTATGATGGAGTATTCTTTTTGGGAAAAAGAGTACTCCCTTCTTTTTTTTCCAAAAAGTGCTCCATCATACTCCTCCTTTTG